GATAATGTAGGAGCAAGGAGACAAGATGTGATTTGGTAAGAGATATAATATTGGAAATTATTAAAGAATAAGCAGGATATGAACTTAGATGTGTAACAGTCTCAGACATCAGGTTGCAGCCGATATAGTTCCAATTTTTGTAGAGACCTGGGCGAAGCTTTTCCATTCTATTGAGAATAGAGAGTTCATTCACAAAGTTTTTAATCATGAAGATCTTAAGGCGAGTGTCAACAAATAATGTGACCATTGATAATAAATCCAATAAGAGGATATTCTAAATGGAAAACCAGTTGATATCATTCGAGCAGGTAAGAAATCTAAGATCTCTATTCCTTTGAAGAGAAAAAAAGACTCCAAAATGCCGAGCATTGAAAAATTGTTTGAAGAAATTTTGAATTAAAGATTTGAAGTGATATCTTGAAATTGCATAACTAGATTGTAAGATCTGATACCAGTTAAAATGAGTGAAATTGCAGAAAGAGAGTGACCATCTTTTGCAAGAGAGTCCGCAATATCATTGAAGGTATTACCATAGTGAGCTTTAACTTTGTGTAATATGATCACAAAGGCTAGAGAATCAATGATATACTGAACAAAATTCCAAATAGTATAATTAGGGATCTTTTTAAGAGAGCGGTTAGAGAGGCGATAGTTGATGATGATGGAGTTAAAGCCATGAATTAATGTTTGGCTATCTGTATGAATGTGAATCTCAGATGATTTGGAAGAAACGAGGAGAGCTGTCATAAAAGCGAACAACTCAATATGGGTAGAGGAGGGCTAATTTTCAATTGAGATTTCAAATTGATAATATTTAGAGTCAGAATCAACACAAATCCATCTAATGCCTATTTTAGATGAGTCAGAAGTAGGATTAATTAGCGAAATATTTGTGTAAAAATGAGGAGTTTTAAAACAGATAGCGCAGCTTAGAGTGAGGAAAGTGTATGAAAGTGTGGGGAAGAAGGAAGTAGGGTATGTATGAGATCAACAGATTCAGAGAGTAAGGTTGTAGGAACTGGTAAATTGAGAAATATGTTGAAAGTGATTTGAGAAAGTTCATTTAAAGAATATTTGAATTACCTTTCTGATATGTTGGGTGAATTAGGTAGCAAGTCAACTTGAAAGATTCTATTCATTTGGATTCTGAAAGTACAATTGTTATTTTGAGCGTTAACTGCAAAATTCACACACCCAGTGCATTTGATGAAAGAAGGTCTAAGATCATTATTTCTTGTGGCAATATAGTGAAAGCAAATAACCATCCAGTAATCAAGATCTTGTCAAAGATGTAACCAAAAGAAATGGTATTCAAAATCAGATTCCAAAAGGTAATGAACTCTTTTCTTTGATCAACGGGATTGAGGTAACAGCTAAATATTTATAAATAAGTAAAGGTTGATTTAATCTAAGTTCTAATTTAAGTAATCTATTATTGTTATTTTCTAAAACTAATTCTTTTAATTCTTTGAAGAATCTAGAACTACTCATACGTAAGGTATGATGATCAAAATTCCTAAGAAACGAATCAGATTTTCTATTAGAGAATGACCAGTAGTATCAGTAAGTTGATCTAAATATATAAGATTGTGTTGACGAAGAAAGTTAGTATATTTATAAAGCAAAGTGACAGAGAAGATATTGGTTAGGAGAAGTTGCCCTCCTTTAATACGATTGATTAGGATAAAAGACGGAGTAAAAGAAAGATTTGAAGATGAAGATTTGATTAAATTCAAGGAAGTACCAATAAGGTTATGATTAGACTGTCGATTAAAATGCTGAGTCCAAGAGTCTAGGGAGAGAACATTGTGATTGTAATTGAAATAAACGGATAGTAAAAATGTGTTCGTAAAGCGAATTATTATTGAATTGATGAAGGAAAGCACAGGAAAGGGACTTAATTTGTAATGACTAAAGATCATTCAAATTATAAAATTTGTAAAAGTTTAATAAGACATTCAGAAGTGTAATAGCAAACTTGTTTTTTCTTTTTAAAAAGTGAACGAATAGGAACAAACAATTTATCAAATTCAGGATTGGATAAGAGAGTGAGTTGAATATGGTATTCGATAAGAGGACATAGAATCATATTAATGATATATGCGAATTATTTATCAGTAATAGGTTTGTATCTTATAGTATTGATGAATCGTTGAATATCCAAAGTGATTTGTTTTTTAACGAAGGCAGCTAAGCGTTTATGATTAATCTAAACACCTAAGAATCTTACAGATTCTTGTTTAACTATCAAATCGACATAAGATGAGCCAAATCATAAATTAACTGAAGGAGTTTGAAGACGTTTTGTAGAGAGGAGTTTTGACTTTTATTTGTTAAGAGCAGAATGTGTGAAGTTGTAAAATTCGTCCGCGATTTCTAATATAGATTCAAGGTTTTGTTGATTTTTAGCAATCCAATTTGTATCGTCCATAAAAACAAAGGAGGATACTTGAGCTGTTAGATGGTTGGAGGATAAAGTAGTGAGATCAGAGATCCAATGATGTTAAATAGTGTATCCTTTATTAAGATTTGTGACTTCGCATAGGAGAGGATCAAGATAGATACACTATAAGAGTGGGAATATAACTTCACCTTGGTCTATACCGATTATTACATCGTAATATTCTGAGATACTATGAGCAGTGAAAGCAGCATTTTTTCGTGCAGTGAAAAGGTTGATCAAAAGGTCAACAGCATGGTTAGGTACTTTTATACGATATAATGCCTTACGAAGGAAGGATAGGTCGACACAGTCATATGCTTTTGAAAAGATCTTGTAGTAGAATCCAAATTTCCTTATTATTTTCATTTGCATCCTTGAGTAATATGTTGAGAATTTTTATGGGATTCTCTGTTGAGCCTTCTGGCAATCCAACAAAATTTCCACCTCAAAGGATAAAGTATTTGGCAATAATATTAGAGAGACAGTTTATGAGAATTTAATGAATCCTTTCCTATCAGTTTCAAGTAGTGTGATAGGATGAATCTTTGTAATATCACATTCCCAAGCCATAGGTTTAGGAATTGGAAAGATGTGTGCAATTTTCCATTTGTTAAAGATGTTACCAATAGTGAATTACAATCAAATAAGTTGCCAAAGCAGATATTGTAATTTGTCACCGAAATGATTCAGCATTTCATTAGTGATGCTAGATAGACCTGCAGCCTTATCCTTGGGCATCTGTCGAAGAATAGCTAGCTATTCATCATTTATAGGAGATTGAAGAAGATTGTTATAGCAACTACTGTTAACGTAATCTTTCAGAAAGTATTGATTTATCTAACGTAAAGGTAAAGGTTGAGACAGAGTATCAGGTAAAGCGAAATTTTGAAAATGTTGTCAAGTAGATTCTTTGATTTCACTAGAATCAATGGTAAATCTTTTAGTACCATCAATGGGATTGGTAATTAATAAACAATCCAATATAATAGTATTTTTCTTTCGGTTAAGAATAGAATTGATCATGTAAGACGTATTATTGAGCAGGTCGTCACAATGTTTATCAACTAATTGTTTAATAGCTAAGACTTTGAGGTTATGTATATCAATTTTTGCCAAGTTTAAAAGTGATTTGTAGGTAGTAAAAAGGTCATGTTTGATATTGAGAACCGTGTGTTCAGTAAGAATTAAGGGAAAGAAGATAGGTATAAGCTTCATTTTTTCAATAAATTTTATCATGGTAGATGATACATCAGTTCATGTTGAACCTTTAGGTTATTTTTTATCTTGGATCGGCTTAGATTTGAAGAGCAAAAGTATCGAACGAACTTTTCTCGCAGCTAAATATGAGTCTGGTGATTCATATAGCTATTTATGATCATTTTTACGAGAAATCTAACATTGTGGGATAGTATGTTTATTCGCAGCACAATAGCAGTTTTGATATTGGTTTATAAGGAATTCATGTTGTGACGTGTCAGTGAGAGGTTCTTTAGTCAGTCGAGATTTTAACAGTTATAATGGAAGTTAGTGTATTCTGCAAAATCAGCCCATTTAGACGAAATCATCAAGCATTGGTTAGGTACTTGTCGTTTGTCTTGAATTAAAATGGTATCAATTCATGAACTTTAATTGTTAACACAAAATGTAAATTCATGTGAATCATACATAAGTCATAAAGGTCTAAAAAATTGAGCGTGAAAATTTGATCATAAAAATTGAATCTCTAATGGGAAGGGGAGCCAAAATTAGAATTAAACCAGTAAGTGTTGAGGTTTGCATTAAAATCACCTAAAAGAATAGTTTTGAAGTCAGACTTAAGACTATCTTTGATGTGTTTGATAATCATTTTATGTAGATTGAGTCTATCTTTCTTCATTTCAGACGTTAATGATACATGAAAGTAAATACAGAAGATTCTTAATTTGATATGGCTAGTAAGATATAAATCAATGTAAATAAATCTGTCATCATCCAAAAAAGTTTGTTGAATGTAAATAGCCCAGGAACGTTTGACAAGAATGCCAACGTCAGCATGAATATTAATACGAGAGCTCCAAAAGACGCAGAAATTAGGATCATATAAATATTGATAGAATTGGTCAGATTTGTAGCAATTTCAGTAAGGCCAATAAAATTAGTGTTGAAATCTATGAAAGTATCATTAATTGAGGTATTTTTGATAACACATTGTAATGAATTAATATTATGGGTGGCAAATGAAAGATTTGAGATTCCTTTTGAGGTATCATTATAGTTATTAGTGGAAATATTGGGGGCAGATTATTATTATTATTTGTTATTACATGAGAAGAACTTAAAATCATGATAGGAATAAAGGAGAAGGATAGCAATTATTGTTTAGCTAACTTCTCAGTCAAGAACTGGAGTTGTGTAATCATAATATTAAGTTGTTGTTGTTGGGTGCAATAATTCCATTTTATTCTTCAATAGTAGCTTGTAAATTAATATTAACAGGATGAGATGCATAGGCTTCACTATCATCTGAGAATGTATTAGCAATTCTTGAATGTTTGTTAATGTGTGAAAGAGGAATATATTAATGGTTAGTGGGGTTAGATAAGTATCCTATATCTTTATCAATATTTAAAACCATCTGTAATGCTGTTATATAATCATTCATAGAATGTAAATTTCTCTCTTGAAATCTAACTAATTTTACTCCTTGTATTGATATTTCTTCTTTTCTTTCTGCAATTGAATCATTATAGCTATATATTATAAGCAAATTAATTCGATCAAAATTTTCAATATTTGATTGTTTAGAAAGCTATTGTTTTTTGCAATTAGTAGGATTGTATAACTGTTTTACTTACCTGTAATGCAACTGGAAATGAAAAGTTAGCTTCTCTTTTCATACATAAGTATGAAAATCCTTAGGTTCTAAAAAATATTGATAAGAAGACCCTTCCAGTTGAATATTACTGGAATAAAAAAAGTTGGATGCAAGTATCAATTTGGAATGAATATATTAAGAAACTTAATAACCGAATGATAAAGCAAAATTGAAATATTCTTTTTCTCATTAATAATGCCTAACACATGCTCTATACGAAACTATTCAATTAACAAATATCACTATCAAATACCTTTCCAAACACTATAGCGTATCTTCAACCTTGTGATCAAGATATCATTAATAGTTTTAAAGTGAAAAATGTATTCAATTTAAACATTCCTACATTTTATACTTTTTATACTTTAATTCAAATTTAGCTTATTTTAGGCACAATATCGAAAGCTTTATCTACAAAATATGATCAAATCTTTTGAACATTTCAATGATTATCGTATCAAACCTATGAAAATTAATATTAAAAAATGTGAAATATGTTTTCTGAGCATGGAATAATATAACACAAGAGACAATTCAAAATTGTTAGTTGAAAGCAGATATTCTGCCTAATAATGATAACAATAATGATGAAGATGAAATCTTCACTGATATACAACTTGAACTTAAATGTCTAAAAGAATTAGAAGAAGTTCAAGTTTTAATTGATAAACTTGTTTTTAACGATCCTTTAACTGCTGAAGAATTTGTTCGATTTGATAAGTCTAAAACTACAGGAGAAATAATATATGACAAAGAAATTGTAAAAGCAGTTTTACCTAATGAACAAGAACAAAGAAAATGAAGGAGAAGAGGATCCTTTACTAACAATTACTTATAATGAAGCTATTAAAGCTTATGATAAAGTAATTTTATATTTGAAAAAATGGGAGGAAATTTTTAATGTAAACAATGAAGAATCAAAGCTTATTAAAAAGCTTAAAAAAGAAGCTTTGAAAAACCAGTTTATTTCGGTGAGACAAACCAATCTCAATAAATTTGTTACTATAATTGAATAATAATAGTAATTATTTTTTAACATAACAATATTAATAATAATTTGGTGCCATTTTTTATTTTAATATAATAACATTAATAATAATTAATTTTTTTAACGCAAAATATTAATAATTTGGGATATTTTTTTACGTAATAAATGTAATGATATAATAAAATGATGTCATTAGAACACAAATTTAATGCTTTGACTAAATAATATCCCTTGCAATAGTATTGAAATTGTGTGTTGAAATTGTGTTAAAAAATTTATATCATTTTTTATAATTTGTAATGAATTTTTATTGAACTTATATTGAAATTTCTATTGTTTTTTACCAAATTGTAATGACATTTGTTATAATAATTTATATTTATCACCAGGTGATAAATTATTATTGTCTCTAATTGTATGATCTACTGTATTAAAAAATTCACTTAAGTTATATTTGTGTTGATCTAATTTTATAAATAATACAACAGTTGAATTGTTTTTGGAATCTGAATCAGAATTTTGAATACAATGAAATTGAGCATTTCGATTATGAGTTTATTGTATTATTCAAGATATCAAATAAGAATTTCAATTCAATAATAAAGAGATTTTCACAAGATATCAAATTAGAATTTTGATTCAATAATAAAAAAATTTATTTTTAAAAAAAAGTATTTTACCATCATTTAATTTTTCAGGATTGAAACTTTTAAAAATATAATTACTTATTAATTCAAGTTAATCTACATAATATTTTAATATTTTTAATTTCTACAAATTATCATAAAAATAGCTGCTGCAAGAATCATTTGGGAAAATGTAGAGACTGATTACTTGGTTGAAGAAAAGAGGAGTAGCAACCATAAATATCATTATTTTTTTCATGGAAATAAATTAAGATTTTGGCAGAGTGTTATGAGAAGAATAAATCAATAATATAATGGTGATTATTTCTCGCCAATACGAGTAGTAGTAGAGAAATCTGATAAAGGATTATGGGGTAAGTAAATAAATAAATAATAATATGTTAATAAATATAACTTAATAAGTAATTAATATGTATCCTTTAGAACTTTTATGATTGGTATAATAATGTGAGAAGAGGGGGAAGGCAATCGAATAATGGGAAACAATTTTATAATCTATTCCAAACTAGGTTTTAAAATAGATCAGGTAATTATTAAAAATGTTTAATTAATATTCCTTAATAAAAATTTTAGGAATTTTTATATTTATATTAAGTATTTTTACATTTTTTAGTTATGAGTAAGGTTGCTAGATGAAAGACAGACGTCTAAATGGTAAAAGTAAAACTTGGTTAAATCATATTAAAACCTTATTAAAAAATTTGCAAAATTTGGAAAAAGGTAAAACTATATCAAAGCTTATAAAAATAGCGAAACTATATCAAACACTTAGTAAAAAT